GAGTATACCACGAACACACACGAGCATGAAGAGACTCGAAATTATTTTGTGAGAGGAAAAGGTGCAAATGAACTCATTACATCACACAGGTAGAGAGTTCTTCTGTGGATTGTTCATTTTTTAATCGTTGTGAACAAGTAGCAAAAGCATGGCGATGTTGATAACTAGGTTCTGAATGGTTGCAGCTGAAACGCACATGATTACAAGATTCCAAGACCTTTATTCCACGAAGACCTTCATCTTCATGTACTGGATGGAATATCATATTTATGAGAGATGCTTCACTGTGCCACATGACTTGTTCACATCATGTTTGTACTTCTCCGCCTTTGAATGATGCATCTCTTGTTGCATGACTTAAAAACCACTTTGTGAAGATGCATAGTCTTGTATATATCCATGTCCACATGCTCAAAGCCTTGCCACTTTGTGACAAACAATATTGAAAAATCTTGAAGACAGCAAACCCAACGGCACAGTGTTGGATGGCAGTGCACCTACAGCATGTGCTTCGATTCTGTTGTGCGCGCACCATATGCTATTGTGGTTGTCATTATCATTGACTGGAAGTCAGTGTCAATTTGCTGGTAGTTCGACATCCTGAGATAAATGCTTCGAATGAATAATAAATGTCAAATCAGATATCACCTCCAACCTTGATTCTACATTCATGTCAGTCTGATTGCAACGCACAATGGATTCTTGCATGCAAGCTGACAAGCTCGAGACTTGATCTCTGATATGATCTGAGGCTTAATTGGACGTCAACAGCTCCGCCATTAGGGAAGCAAAGCAAAGTTCATGCATTTCACCAAATGTGCGAACATGCAAAGGACTTGAGTGAGGAGAGTTTGGAGAGAGGAGGGGAGATACTTCAACAAGAGCTTCGTGAGAGTCAAGTAATTGGCATATTTTAAAGAGTCAAATATCATCAAACTTTTTCTGAACGTGTGAAGCAACGATGTAACGAAGCGTACAGAAGACATGCCGAGGAGGGAGTCAAGTGAGATGTGATTGCGCCTTAATTAAGTGAACTCGTCATTATCTTACAGATATTATTATTCAGTTCACTTTTCAGATAAAGTACATTACTCTGAGAGCCCAGAAGTCTTGAAGAGAACATTGATGATACGATTGACTTAGTCGTCGGACATGTAGGATGACGAACTCATGCAGATTGATCCACTCCTGCAAGATCACCAAGTAAAAATTTATGCTGGATTCTTGATGCCAAGTGTACCTTGCGATCATCTTCTTACTCGGCAGTCCTTCACCTGTGCTCATGGTGGCAGCTCGCTGACCTGGCTGCTGTGCTCGCCCGGCGGCTCAGCATGACGGTGTGCGATTTGACGATGGGAATGATGGGGAGTGTTTCCCCACCCTCATCGATAGGGTGGGTCATCAAAATTGTTTTAGATGGTACAAATCAGCAGTTATAAACCGTTACTCAGTACAACTGCTTGTACCACGGATTCGAATAAACAATTCATTACCGTTAAAACAAGTGGACACGCCAGTTCAAAATTTGAAGCACCCCTACCACTGATATTACCGAGCGCCACCCCTCAAAAACGATGGGGTACACCACCACCGGTATCCTATGAGAACAGCATACGCATTCCTCTTTTGCGTTAATAAAGACCAACGCGGTTTGACCCCAGAATGGGCCGCCCGGAGAGATCGGGCCCCCGGCCAATCTCCGGACACTTAGCCTCCTGGCGGGCCTCCAGGGGGTCTGAGGCGGGGCTGAAAAAAAGTCTTGTCTCGGTCACGTGATGTGTCACGTGACCGGTCAGGTGAGCCTGTCAGCCGGGTCACGGACCCTGTCAGCCGGCTGACATGTCACGGGCCTGCTGACACGGTCCGCTGACCGGTCACGGCCGCCCGGAGAGATCAGGCCCCCGGCCAATCTCCGGACACTTAGCCTCCTGGCGCCGCCGGGCCTCCAGGGGGTCTGAGGCGGGGCTGAAGGCTGCAGTCGGTCTACTGACGGGCCCGGCCGGCAGGATCCGTCGAGAAACAGGGGGGTCAAGGGAGGTTTTCTTCCCCCTGGGAGAAATGTCCTATGGGTTTTTGGATCTGCGATATAAAAAAGTCTTGTCTCGGTCACGTGATGTGTCACGTGACCGGTCAGGTGAGCCTGTCAGCCGGGTCACGGACCCTGTCAGCCGGCTGACATGTCACGGGCCTGCTGACACGGTCCGCTGACCGGTCACGGCCGCCCGGAGAGATCAGGCCCCCGGCCAATCTCCGGACACTTAGCCTCCTGGCGGGCCTCCAGGGGGTCTGAGGCGGGGCTGAAGGCTGCAGTCGGTCTACTGACGGGCCCGGCCGGCAGGATCCGTCGAGAAACAGGGGGGTCAAGGGAGGTTTTCTTCCCCCTGGGAGAAATGTCCTATGGGTTTTTGGATCTGCGATATAAAAAAGTCTTGTCTCGGTCACGTGATGTGTCACGTGACCGGTCAGGTGAGCCTGTCAGCCGGGTCACGGCCCCTGTCAGCCGGCTGACATGTCACGGGCCTGCTGACACGGTCCGCTGACCGGTCACGGCCGCCCGGAGAGATCAGGCCCCCGGCCAACCTCCGGACACTTAGCCTCCTGGCGGGCCTCCAGGGGGTCTGAGGCGGGGCTGAAGGCTGCAGTCGGTCTACTGACGGGCCCGGCCGGCAGGATCCGTCGAGAAACAGGGGGGTCAAGGGAGGTTTTCTTCCCCCTGGGAGAAATGTCCTATGGGTTTTTGGATCTGCGATATAAAAAAGTCTTGTCTCGGTCACGTGATGTGTCACGTGACCGGTCAGGTGAGCCTGTCAGCCGGGTCACGGCCCCTGTCAGCCGGCTGACATGTCACGGGCCTGCTGACACGGTCCGCTGACCGGTCACGGCCGCCCGGAGAGATCAGGCCCCCGGCCAATCTCCGGACACTTAGCCTCCTGGCGGGCCTCCAGGGGGTCTGAGGCGGGGCTGAAGGCTGCAGTCGGTCTACTGACGGGCCCGGCCGGCAGGATCCGTCGAGAAACAGGGGGGTCAAGGGTAGGTTTTTCCTTCCCCCGTGGGAAGAAATGTCCTATTGGGTTTTTGGATCTGCGATATAAAAAAGTCTTGTCTCGGTCACGTGATGTGTCACGTGACCGGTCAGGTGAGCCTGTCAGCCGGGTCACGGACCCTGTCAGCCGGCTGACATGTCACGGGCCTGCTGACACGGTCCGCTGACCGGTCACGGCCGCCCGGAGAGATCAGGCCCCCGGCCAACCTCCGGACACTTAGCCTCCTGGCGGGCCTCCAGGGGGTCTGAGGCGGGGCTGAAGGCTGCAGTCGGTCTACTGACGGGCCCGGCCGGCAGGATCCGTCGAGAAACAGGGGGGTCAAGGGAGGTTTTCTTCCCCCTGGGAGAAATGTCCTATGGGTTTTTGGATCTGCGATATAAAAAAGTCTTGTCTCGGTCACGTGATGTGTCACGTGACCGGTCAGGTGAGCCTGTCAGCCGGGTCACGGACCCTGTCAGCCGGCTGACATGTCACGGGCCTGCTGACACGGTCCGCTGACCGGTCACGGCCGCCCGGAGAGATCAGGCCCCCGGCCAACCTCCGGACACTTAGCCTCCTGGCGGGCCTCCAGGGGGTCTGAGGCGGGGCTGAAGGCTGCAGTCGGTCTACTGACGGGCCCGGCCGGCAGGATCCGTCGAGAAACAGGGGGGTCAAGGGAGGTTTTCTTCCCCTGGGAGAAAATTTTGGGATCTGCGATATAAAAAAGTCTTGTCTCGGTCACGTGATGTGTCACGTGACCGGTCAGGTGAGCCTGTCAGCCGGGTCACGGACCCTGTCAGCCGGCTGACATGTCACGGGCCTGCTGACACGGTCCGCTGACCGGTCACGGCCGCCGCCGGAGAGATCAGGCCCCCGGCCAATCTCCGGACACTTAGCCTCCTGGCGGGCCTCCAGGGGGTCTGAGGCGGGGCTGAAGGCTGCAGTCGGTCTACTGACGGGCCCGGCCGGCAGGATCCGTCGAGAAACAGGGGGGTCAAGGGAGGTTTTCTTCCCCCTGGGAGAAAATTTTTGGGATCTGCGATATAAAAAAGTCTTGTCTCGGTCACGTGATGTGTCACGTGACCGGTCAGGTGAGCCTGTCAGCCGGGTCACGGACCCTGTCAGCCGGCTGACATGTCACGGGCCTGCTGACACGGTCCGCTGACCGGTCACGGCCGCATGGCACACGCCGCCTGGCACACCCACAAACCCATCGATGCAGTAGCAATCCGTGATGGCCTTCGCCCCAACGTACAGTGACGTGGAATTGCCGGGCCTACATACCGGCTGACAGGGGCCGTGACCCGGCTGACAGGCTCACCTGACCGGTCACGTGACACATCACGTGACCGAGACAAGACTTTTTTATATCGCAGATCCAAAAACCCATAGGACATTTCTCCCAGGGTTAGTTTTTTTTTTTTTTGGCGATCAGCGGGTGAAGCGGGACTTTGCGGCGTAGCAGAGACCCATGCAGCGCCTATCGCCTGCAATACACGCGCGGGGACTTTGCGACGTAGCAGAGACCCAACGAGGACAACATTGCATGGAGTATGTCTGGTTCATGTGCAACCAGTACCTTGTGACCGAGAGGGAAACGATTAACAAGGTGCATGGTATGTAGATATTCATGGACATCTTCCCAAACATCGCCGACGGCTTCAGGCAGGAGAACCTGCAGTCTTGCGAGTGGGGTGGTATGTGTGGATTTAAGAAAAGCAACGCTATGAGCCAAGCCTTGCATGATGGGATACTTCCAGTTTCGCTTGCTCGTTTAAGCAGAAACTAGTTGACAATCGGCCTTTACCGTACTGCAGCCTGAGAACCTCTCCCTGCAGCCTTAGCGCCATGTCCGAAGATGCAATGGGAGGGTATCCGGGGTTATGTTGCCAGTGCGGAGGCGGGCAACAATAAGTGCATGCTTCTATTAGACTAATTCGGTGCGCAACGGGCTAGGCTCGATTGCAGAAACTTTTTGGCGTGTTCAAAATCATGAGTTTATTCTGTGCAACCTTAAACGTCAATGAACGGCACATTTTGCGTGAACGTATTGATGAACATCATCTATCTTCGGCAAGATTCATAATTCTCCTGCAAACTCACTGTCAAAGGTTGCTTTGAATCCCAAGAAGTTACCAGAAACCATTTCACCGTTGCATCAATCCCAAGTTTGAGGGGAGTAAAAGTAAACCCTACACAGCAAAAGTTGATGGAAGCAGCAGGAATGTAGCACCTGAACCGGGAAGATTCTTCCGTAACCTTGCAAGATTTAAAGGCATATAAACGATTAAAATTTCACAGACCGTTCATTGCTTGCAGTTTTGCGCAACTGCCCATCAGATTGGGAAGCGTCGAAAATCTCAAATCTGATCAGCATGTGATGGGAAAATTAAATGCTGTACCAATCTGTCCTCATCAAATTTCATACTTTGTGCAATCAAACAAGCGAGATCTGCAATTCTTTAGACAAGGAAGGGGCAAACAAATGAACCTGATATCATGACTTCGTCAACACGATCAGGTGCAAGGATTAGAGAATCCGAACCCTGCATCCGTTGTTAACAACCGAAACTAGAAAGGCTAACCTACAGTGTACTGCAACAGCGTCCACAAGAGAAGCTCGGCAAGATCATCAGAGAAAATAAACTGAGCATTACTAGGAGTGTCAGGACCACAACCATTGCTAGCAACACAAAAGCACCTGGCGTAGAGGTTTGCCACTTCCACAGATAGTCAAGTTTGTGCCTTGGAGTTTTGCCTTGTAACACTTACCACGAATCAACGGAAGGCAATGCACGCGAAGCTGGCAAGACCACACCTTGTGTATCAATCCAGGGACAACATGAGCGTCCTCAATATCAAAATTGTCATGAGGTCCATATACATTGGTCGGTATCTACAAAATTCTGACAGAATGCACAACTGAGTTTGCAATGTATACAACTGTCACATAACGATGACCATACTGTTCATTGTAAGCTCGCATCAGAACTTCAGACTTTCAGACACGAATATGATTAGTAAGGTCAAACCAATTTAAAACGGAAAATACCACTCTTTTAGCATAAGCATATCCCTCATTGCTTGGGTGTGGCGGACCACTGTGCATATCTTCCTCCTTCAAAGGATAGTTCGCAATCTTGGGGATTGTTAAACCAGCAAAAAACAATATTGCTCATGATGTTCAACCTCGTTCGGAAAAGCACATGTTGATGAAACATTCACGCAGCGCGTAACTCCAAATTCATGGCAGCATTGCAGCACCTTTTACAAACAAGCTTAACAGTAATAAGACATAATGGTGAATTCTTGCGTTTTGATTGATTGAGAGATTTTCACTCAACATCTCGACCTGATATGATTCAAAATCAAATATTTGACCGACGCCTCACCTTCGAAACTAAATTTTTGTACAAACCACCCTATTGCAGTTCAGGAAAAGAACCCAGACCCAGACTTTACCACTCTTGCGGCCAAGTGAATGACGTAGGTTGGGTTGTATTGCTCAAATATTTGACGAGTTTCAGTGATATTTCTGAGGACAGATTACGACCCCACCATCAATCACAAGCAGTGCTTTTGCAATCCCAGACCTTAGATCTGCCTCTTTGGAGGAAAGGAACACGAATTGTATCCCCATCTCAAGAAAGCGGCCTCCTTGAACCTTTCGCTCAATCGCCTTTCCAACAAGTCCGCTTCCTCCCGTGACTAGCACTGTAAGCATGATCATGTTGGATCTCCAAGCCCCCTTCCCTTTTTATAGGGGCGTAGGATTAACGTTGTGGAACCGTGGTGTATATTTACACTTGTAAGACCAAAACAGGAGATTACAGTTCTTTATTGTCGGTTTTTCCATTTACTATAGAAGTAACATAAAAATTGTTCGGAAATGGACCCCACCCCTCCAAATCTATCATTTAGTACCCACCCCTGCACGTCGAACCCCCATCCCCACCCTCCGCTTTGTGTGGCCACCCGCCTCAGAGTGTCCAACACTTAGCCAAATTTTCACAGTTCGAGTCAACACACAACTTGAACGCATCGTTGCATCTTTACGTCACCCGCGGTTCGAGGTTCCATACCATTTATGTAAGATCTAAACTTCAATTCCACAGCCACTCCAGTTCATCAAGGTCTAGAAGGTGCACTTGATTCGCAGTTTGCGAACATAACTTGTCCATTTTAGCTGTCCACTTCGATTCGTCGAACTGCTACTGGCAGCTCCAATGTCGATCCAATTCAGGTATTGATGGGCATACTTCATGAAGAATTCATTCGTTTCTCGGACTGAAGGATTCCCCCGCTCTATACAAACCAGTTGGTCCATTTCCCTCCTTCTCGCTTCATTGTCCTGTTCGCTGTCCCTGATCACCTTCCTTATGAATTGATGAAATTGCCTCATGAAAAACTTCATATCTGTCAATCGTTTATCTTGGCTCTTCTGTGTCAAATCTTTTCCCCTCATACGTTTCAGCGGTGGAAGTCCTTTTAAATTGTTGCCACAATGCCAAATGCTCCAGGCTGCCTCTGTTACTCCTGCCCGGTCGTCCGATACTCGTATATCTTCCGGAAGAAGCCTCTGACCTTGGCACTGCTGTACTTCTGGCTGCTGCTGTGAATGAAGTGGCTCCTGACATACTTCCTCTTGCCGTTGTTGCACTTGCTGTGGTTGCACTACCTGCTGCTGCTGCTGCTGCTGCTGCTGCTGCTGCTGCTGCTGCTGCTGCTGCTGCTGCTGCTGCTGCTGCTGCTGCTGCTGCTGCTGCAGGTGCTGGAGCAATTCAAGTTGTTGCTGCTGCAAATTCTCTATCATCCGTTTCTGCATGTCCCAACCTTCCTGTAGCTTTGCAACTACTTCTCGTAGTTGCATTTGCACCGTGAAGTTCTCGTGGCCATGATTTTGTTGCATAGATACTTCAAGCTGTTGTAGCAATAGCAGGCGATTTTCCTCATTCTTTCCCTGAGACTGTTTAAAATAGTTGACAATCTCCTTGAATTGCACCTCCATCTTTTGCATCATGCTGTCTTGCTTCAGTCTCAGCTGTTCATTGGCTGCCACCAGCTGTTCATTGGCTGCCACCAGCTGTTCATTGCCTGCCACCACTTGATCAAGCTTCTCTTGCAAAAGTTGTGTCTTCATCATCCACTGCTTTTCGTGAACCAGTGATGTGACATGAGGCGGACATCCAGTACTACGATAAATGGGAACCTGCACAGTGCACATCATGTTCTCGGAACTTTCATTCATCTCTGTGGGTACGTCTGTAGGAAGCAGAACTAAAACTTGCTCTTTCAGCTGTTCATAAATTCCAGTATCCCGAAACAATGCGCAGCTCCATAATGGATGACTGGGGTCCAACTCCTTTCTCAAGTAATCGAAATGATACACAATGCTTGCTAAGCAATGTATCAGAATCCCATTCATATTCCCTGGCAATGTAGGAAAACATAACTGAATCGTACTCTGTACTAATTCATCATTTCCCTTCTTGAACTGTGGAGGTAATGACGCAAACATCGCCGAATGAATGGGTAATCCACAGGCCGTACGACCAACAAACAGATCTGATGCAGCCTCGTACTTGAAGTAAGTCTTGGGAATTGTTCCGTTGTTCCAACTGGCTCGGTCAGAAACCGCGGTAACTGATGGACAGTGAGTAGAACCACTTGTACAATACGTCGCTGCACCCTACACGTAGGGTTCAAACAATCTTCACATCATCAATCATTATCTCACCTTTCGAATGGAGTGGGTGCCTAAATCCTCCTTGTTCATCCCAAGTCTTTGCAGCTCCTGACAGACAGCTTTCCGAATGGCTCGGTAATCATACGGAGCATCCTGTGCGCTAGAAGATTCATCACACTCACCCCGTTCGGGCAGTGTCATGACTTTCTGCAGACAATTGACAAAACGATGGTATTGACTGCCACCTATCATGCCCAAAAAATGCATCAGTATCAACCACATTTCATGCCAAGTACACCTGGAAACAACTTCCTGGTGTCTGGAGAATGACTCATTAGGTACACACCCATAGCAAGAATGGGGCAAATTGCAGGACAGATCGGATTGGCATATATTGATTTCGGCTCGTTCCGTTCTCCAACTTGATCTGTCTTGCTATGAGGAAAACATATCCACATGTGATCGTCTTTCCATCCCATGTGTTGAAACAGAATCTCAGCCGTATTGAAAGATCTGCAGATCAGATTCCAACTTAGTATCAGGAAGGTACGACCAACTATTAAATCCATCTTCTTACATTTCAGCAACTCTCCACCCATTATGACATACAAACTAAAGGGTAATGGATCCTTGCCAGATGACAATTTCGTTCCACTCACGGCTCTCTCATCTGCGATGGTGTTCTGAAGACCTTTATAGAAATCGGCTATCTGAACGTCGAACTTTCTCCTGTACGTTTTGGTCTTGTGGTGCCTTCTATAGAAATGCCTAACACCTGATCTCAAAGCTACGTATGACGAAAATTTCAACTTTTTCTTCATCATGACATTTACCACATAGCTGGTCCATTGCTTGTATGAGAACCTTCTCGTGTTGAATGGTAACAATTCTCTTCTCTTCAACAATTCTTTGATCTTCTTGGTAATTGGACCACGATTTCTGGGTTCGTTGTCTAAACAACTCTTGAATTCGTGATTCAAACAAAATGGTTTGGTTTCATACAACCATGCAATCAGCTGACTTACAGAACTCAAGTAACATGCCTTCGAATTGTCCGAGAGCATCCTGTCTTTGACAGACTCGATTCTTTCTCTTGTTTCTTGTTCGTCCTCGCCTTCCATTTCCTCCACTTCCTCGTTATCGTCCTCGTCGTCGTCTTCTTCTTCGTCTTCGTCTTCGTCCGAGGCTTCGTCTCCGCCTACCTCTCTCTCTGCAACTCCGTCTGCGTCGTGATCGTTCTCCTTGTTGCATACCCGTCTAGTTCTGTTAGTCCCTGAAACGTATTCCACAATTGATTCCGCGATTTGTTCTTCAGAGATGGAAGGAACAACTTTTGGGGTTTGCTGCTGCGCTGAAGTTTTTGGTCCCTTTGTTCCTTTTGGGTTGCGAGTCGAGCAACCACAATCACTCCACTCTTCACTCCATTCACTAGCACAAAGATGATGAAACATGTTTGAGCAGACAGTACATTGATACAGTTGAGCTGCGTCGTCCCTAACCTTGCATCGTGAACCGAACAAGCATTTCTGACGGCTACCTTGTGATCCAGCGGCTGTGGCCATGCTGAGCGATTTGCGCGGTTGCAGGCATGAAAGGGGGGGTGGGGGGTGGAGGGGGCCGGGGGCTGCAATAAACTACTACGCAGGAGGCTCAGGATTTAGGGGGTAGGAGCAATTAGAGGTCCAGAGTTGAGTGAAAAAAAATCTCTAATTGAAATTTCCTGTTTTGGTCATGATGTTTTTCAATAAATTTTTACAAATAAGACATCCCCTCTGTCAACCCGTAAAAGTAGGGGTACTCAGATTCCGCACCCCTAAAATAGTTTTAATAAAGTTTGGGATTTCAGGAAATCCGTCGGACAGGGATTTGAACTAGGAAAAATCCTGAAAACGCTAGCTAATTAGAGGTGTAAGATGTAGTCCGGACAAGTGTCTGACAGATGCCGGACACGAGCATAAGGTCTTGTCCGGCAGGGAGGGCAAAGTTGAGTAAATATTTTGTCCTGCATCTTCAATGAATGCCAAATAATACCTTTGGAAAGCAGGGCATGATTTTACTAGGGTACTTGAAGTGTTTAGTAGGGGTAGCACAAAAATTATGCTACTTATAAAAGTTCTTATATAACACATGCCGGACAAACCAATTTCCTGAACCCTGTTGGAATAATACTACTAGGTTTTTTACTCGATGCTGGAATTTCATGAGGGGATGAAACGGTATGTGCATAGCGTTGCTTTTCCGGCCGGGCGCTCATAGGAAAAATTGGCAATATTTTTTTTTTTTCGAAGGACCTGAGGGGTCCCTTCATTCCATGCCAATTGGGAGTACCCTCCTTTGAGAAGTCATGTGGGAGGGTAGTCGCTCTCATGAAAATCGTTGCTGTGCAGGGCCAAAGAGGGGTAGGGTGATTTGAATTTGGTGGCGTGGACACCTCACCACGCCAAACCAATGTAAAAGTACGCATTTTAGGAGTATCTGTGGTACCAACTTAAAATTGCAGCTCTTACATGGTACAAAATGAGGGCCAAACTGGTCGGAACTTCGACTTCCGAGAACCCCTCCATTTGACTGTTGTTGGGGGGTGGGGTAGGCATGGAGCACCCTCAACCACCCACCTTTGAAAGAATTTGAAACTGCGTAATAGGGGGTGGGGGGTAGCCCCCTTTTCTCATTCCCCAAGCCCCCTCTCCCTGGACGAGCAAGAGGCGATGAAATGGTGCCTTCCTGACTCGCGAGGATGAACCTTGATATTGAGAGACTTCGAATCCAACCCAACTGAGATAGGAATGAGATGAAGATCTCATATCACATCTGTAAGAGATGATCGAGCTTCTTTCTCAACTCTGCAGGTTGGGCCAAGGTTTGAATCATCCAGCGTGTAATGTAATATGTGCCCTTGGTTCATACAATCCGCGAGTGTACTTGCAAATATGCTTCGAAGACATGATGACATTTTTATGAACAAGTAAGGAACTAATAATGGATACACCATTGAACAGAATCAACTCTGATTGACCCTTCTTTCAAATTGCAGTGCGTTGCACGTTGCGCTCAAATGCATGATTTGTGAGAAATTTGTATTCAACTGTACCTTGAGCGACTTTTCTGTCTAACAATATGTTCTCATGTCATCGCTCACTTTCAATTCTTCTAGTCTTACGGTCAGGATTCATGCACTTCACTTTTCTACAGAGGACAGTGTTGTATTCTGGACTCATACCGGACGCCCCTTGGACGTAGCGTAGGGAAATAGGATGACGATGCAGATTCCTGCAGTGGTGCTGCTGATCTGATGAGCGTGTGTGCTTAATAAACAGAGATCCTAAGATCATCTGAACTCAACGTCTTACGCAAGGTTGTGTATACAACATATGGTAGCGAATTGGTTCACATTCCAGCACTGATTCAGAATCTCAAAGGATGATTTCAGCAAAGAAAGCAAGCAAACTATCAGTATTGAAAGTGAGAAAATCGCGTAAGGCTCAGACCAGTGAACGAAGGATTCCGACATCTACGGAACAAGTCTCTGATTCAACTTCGATCCATCCAAATATTGGAGCTCAACAATTTCAATTCCCCCGTCCTTTTTCCGCAACGAAAGATGATGATTCAATTATGCAAGATCGACCACAGCAGGATTCCCATCCAGCTTCTGGTGCTCGCCCAGCTTCTGGTGCTCGCCCATTTTTTTTCACGCCAGTACCAGCCCCGTCTATCTTCGGACAGGAGTCTCCGGCACCGCATGCTTCCCGTCCTTCCGCTTTTGGTGCTTTTTCTCCGCGTACCCCTGCCGCAGAGCCCATCCCTGCGATGTCTTCGGGTCGGAATGCCCCTGCCGCAGAGCCCATCCCTGCGATGTCTTCAGGTCGAAATTCTCCTGCCACCAACGACAAGGAACCATCTCTTCGTCAACTTTTTGCTTTACTCCTGCAACAGAACGCAGATGCCCAGCAACGTCAAGAAGCACTTGAACGCAAGCTGGATCGTCAATTTGAGCAATCTCAGGAATTCAATGATCGTCTATTTGCTCAATCCTACGAACTTCAAGACCGTCTGGTTTCCGCCCTTTCAACCTCTGTGGCAGCAATCCAGCGCTTGAAGCCCCTCCCAGCACCGTCTAGCGCGCAGCCGTCTCCGCGCATGGCGAGTTCTCCCTCCCCTCCCAGCCCTCGGCTGATGCAGACGCATGTCATCCCGGTTGAGTCAGACCCTTCGTCGATTCCCGAAGCTCCCCCTCCAGTTTCTCTCTTACCAGAGCGACTGATGACTCCGTTGCCAGGTATTCGTGCTTCTAACATGCAGCAGAATCCCTCTCGTGACGCGTGCATGTCGCTGATTCCTCAGCCCACGCCCGTCCGTCCTTCTCAACCTTTCCCTGGTGACAAACTCCCGAAATTTCAGCCCCGAACGTCCATCACCCCCTTTATCGGTCAGGCTGATTCTCGAAGCATTCACAGCTGGCTCTCTCAGATGGGACGCGCTCTGTCTGTTCAACGGATTCCCGGCAACCTGTGGGTTTACTATACAACGACATTTCTTGATGACTCTGTTCTTCAACGCATGTCTCACGATCGTCCTCTTGACGAATGGTTTCTTCTTCCTTGGTCGGAATTCTGTCTTTTCATCACGCAGCAATTTCCTCCCGCGGCTCACATCGCCAAACTACAGCACCAAGTGACCAATCTCTGTCAAGGCGTCAACGAATCGATCACTGATTATACTCTTCGGACGCAACGTTATGTTGACGAACTTTTACTCTACAAATCTGAAACTGTCGTATTTCAAGAGCACAATCTTCTTCAGCAATTTGCCAACGGTTTTCTCGACCCGGAAGTTCGACTCGTTATGGTCCCCATAGCGCACATGCATCCTGCTACAGCTGCCACGATGTCGCTTCTCGCACAGAAAGCTTTCGCCTTCGTCAAACCGTCTTCTTTGGTTCCGGCTCCACAGCCCATTTGTGCCCTTCAACCCTCTCCGTCGACGCCAGGAGTTCAGCCCTCCCCAGCTCCCGCGCAGTCCTCCAGTTCTCCCCCAAATTATTTCTGCACGTACTGCAAACGTTCTGGACACACGTTGAAGTACTGCCGCAAGAAAAAGCAAGCTGATCGCAATGCTTCTTCCGCCGTGACACAGCCCTCCCATCCTCCAGCGAGTCAAGCCGCCATCGTCAATGCCATCACGGCTCTCCTTCAGAATGGTGCTCCAGCTCCTAACCCGGGCTCTCCCGGTCCCGTCACGCATTCCCCTGCAGTCGCCTCCGCTTCTGCTCCTCCTGGGACAGTCTCTTCGTCCTCATCAGCAAGAGCTCAGCCTCCTGCTGATCCCCCGCCTCAGGAATAGGGTACCGCAGGTCATGCTCTCGGTTATTGCAGTTCGACGACGAGCATGATTTCTTCTTCTACGGAGCCCCAGCTGTGCTCTCATTTCATCTTCTCAGCTGAAACTCCGTCCCCTTCCGTTCTGCACAATTCAGCATCGCTGGTCACCGATCTCATCAAATTTCCCGTGACTTGTTCATCTATTTCTCCTGATGCTGACCCTTATCATTTTACAGCTCTTCTCGATGGCGGTGCTGCTGTCGATGTTATTTCGACCGCCCTCCTCGATCGTTTGCATATTCCCTTATCAGCTATTGACAGCTCTATTCGTATCCCTGTATGCGTCGCCAATGGAGTTCACTTACAGACTCTCGGCATTATTTCTCTTACTTATTCAATTGGCAAACACTCATTTACCGATAATTTCAATGTGCTGCCTTCTACATTATCTACATGCATTTTTTCCCTGACGTGGCAAACTCGATATGGACTTGTTTTTCGTGCCCGAACCCGTGAAGTATGGATTGAATCTTCCCACAAGCAACAACTCGTGCGTCTTCCGACATGTGAAATGATTCCGCTTAATTGTCTTACAGCTCCCCAATCCTTTGCGCAAGTTACTTTCCTGTCATTGACCGATGTTTTTGCTTCTCAACAACAAGACAACGATGAGGACGATTGGTTTCTTTGCGTTCTCCAAGTTGATTCATCCTCCACGCCACCGTCAGCCAGTTCTTTCTCTCCGGCTCGTTCTTCTGATGTGTCCCCAGAGGAGCAAGCAATTTCTTTACTTCTGGACGAATTTTCTGCTGTCATTACCGATGATCTGCCCGCCAATTATAACATTTCTCGTGAATTTCAGGCCACCATTGACATTTTACCTGATGCTAAACCTGTCAGTCTACGACCCTATCGGCTCCCGCTTTTCCTCGAACAAGAACTTCAAAAGACGTTGGAATATTTGTTATCTCGCAACATCATCGAACCTTCCAACAGCCCCTTTGGCTTCCCCGTGCTTTACAGTCGCCGCAAAAACGACCCTCGATCTCCTACAGATCCCTCCAGCTATCGTCTTTGCACTGACTTGCGAAAACTTAATGCCATGGTCCACAGCAACCCCAGGTATCCCACTCCTAACCCTGAGGAGATGTTAGAATCTGTCGCCGAGGTCATTCGTAAATCCAAGCGTTTCTTGCACCCTTCTGAATACAAACTTTGGATTTCAGCTCTCGATCTTCTCCGCGGTTTTTGGCAAATTCCTGTTGCCCCTGATCATCGCAAATATGTCGCCATCATCACCAAGTTTGGCAAATATCAGTTTCGCAATCTTCCATTCGGCTACATTCACGCAAGCAATATTTTTCAAGAATGGATTACTCTTCTCTTTCGTGATATTACCAGTGTATTCCCGTACATTGATGACTTGCTCATCCTTGATTTCGGCACGTTTGATCAACACCTCAACACTCTACGTCGCGTTCTTCTGCGCTGCCGCGAGAATCAAGTTTACCTCAAGAAATCAAAAGTCAAGCTCTTTCAAGATAGTGTCGAGTTCCTCGGTCATCAAATCTCTGCTGATGGCATATCGACTCAATCCAGTAAGACCAGCGCGATCCTTGACTGGCCACCACCCAGCAACGCAAAGGAGATCAAAATATTTCTTGGGCTCTCCGGATATTACCGTCGCTTTATTCGCAACTATGCCCACATTGCTGCTCCTCTTCATGCTCTTCTTCGTAAGAATGTCGTCTTTCAATGGACTCCCGAGTGTCAGCAAGCCTTTGATCTTCTCAAACACCGGTTAACCTCCTCCCCAATTCTCTCTCACTTTGATCCAGCGCTTAGGACAGAAGTTCACACCGATGCCTCAAACACAGCTCTCGGCGGTGTTCTTCTTCAGTACGACGCTGACAACAAAGAGAAAGTCATTGGATTCTACAGTCGCCTGTTTACTGATGCAGAAAGAAATTATCAAACCACTGAGCGCGAACTTTTGGCCATCAAAGACGTGCTTCTTCACTTCCAATTTTATCTTCTTGGCAAGCCCATCATCCTTCGTACTGATCACAAGGCTCTCACGTACTTTCAAACTCAAAAGGATCTCAAAGGTCGTCTTCGCCGCTGGTTAGAAACTCTCAGTGAATTCTCTATCGTCGAGATCGCGCACGTGAAAGGTACCGATAATGTCGTCCCTGACGCTCTCAGCCGCCAATATCCCGACGACGACGTCGCACCTCCACGCGATGACGCAATCCTACATTCAGATGATCAAGATTTTCATCATCTCCTTGCTCTCGATGCTCCTGCTGATAATGCTTCTCTCGTTGAATCTCTTCACGACACAATCGTCCAAGCATATTCCTCGTGTTCATACTTTTCTACAATCTATCAAGCAGTTCAAAACAACCCATCGTACAAGCATTTTCACATTGAAAATCATCTCCTGATTCTAACAGATAGTCTTCACCGACAACGCATTTGCATTCCTCAATCTGTTCGCAAAGAAGTTCTATACCGTGCCCATGACCTTCACAGTCACCGCGGCTTCTCTCGAACATACTTGGCTCTTGTTCCTGTTGTTTATTGGCCCTCTATGCGTCAACAAGTCGAACGTTATATCCTTTCCTGTCAATCTTGCATCCAATACAAATCTTATCGCAAGCCACAGATGGGACCGTCGCACAGTCAAGCAGCTCCGTCTGATCGTTTTGCTACAATCTCCATCGATGTCGTTTCCGGCTTCCCGCCTACTCGTTCTCATTACGACTCGATCTTCGTTTGTGTTGACAACTTTTCTGGACGTGTCTTTCTGTCTCCATGCAAGAAGACTCTCACCTCTCAACAAGCTGCCGATCTTTTTGTTTCGAAAGTCTGCGCCAACCAAGGCCTTCCCAACGAAATCATTTCAGATAATGCAAAAATCTTCTCTTCTGCCTTCTGGACTAAACTTTTCGAACTCTTGCAGGTCAAAATCAAGCATTCTTCGCCTTACTATCCTCAAGGCAATGCTCGACCTGAACGCCTCAACTCCGTCTTGATTGAAGCTCTCCGCATCTACTGTGCCAATCGCGTCAACCATGACTGGGACAGATTTCTTCCCCTCTTCGAGATGCATTACAATTCTTCCGTCAAACGTTCCACAGGCCTTGCGCCATTCGAGATTATTTATGGCCGCAACGTCAAAACTCAACTGGCTCTCCCTGACCTTTCCAACTCGTCTGATGATCCTGACGACATTCGCGAAGCCATCCAAGTGCACATGGAAGCAGCTCGCGACGCCCTCGATCACATGGCTCGTTCAACTGAACAGACCCTTGACCAACACCGTCGCCCTCACAATTTCAACATCGGCGATCTCGTGTGGCTCTCAACGACGAATATTCCCATCACCGACAGCTTTCCCAAGCTCCGTCCTCGTTTTATTGGTCCCTTCAAGATCCTCTCCTTTGTTTCTGACAACACTGTTCATCTCGAACTGACAGATCGCTTTCGTCATCTTGAACACAGCGTCTTCAACCTCAAGTGGCTTCGCCCCCATCAGGACCGTGATCCCAACTTCGAGCTTCACGTCGATCGACCGGATCCTCTTTCGACAGCTCAAGGACTTGAATACGAAGTGGAACAAATTCTCGACAAACGTCAACGTGGTCGTGGTATCCAATATCTTGTTCATTGGAAAGGCTATCCTAACCCAGCTGATCACTCCTGGAAATCAGCTTCTGAACTCAACAAGAAATCTGGTATTCGTGCTTTAATTCAACAATTTGAATCTTCTTTATTAGCTCAAGCGTCACCTTCCCGCCGCTCTTCTTCCTCTTCTTCTGCAGATCCTTAACTCAAGATTCTTCTGAGCGAAGTCAACGACAGGTGGACCTTCTTGTCGTCTCGCAGTGGGAGCGATGTTGTATTCTGGACTCATACCGGACGCCCCTTGGACGTAGCGTAGGGAAATAGGATGACGATGCAGATTCCTGCAGTGGTGCTGCTGATCTGATGAGCGTGTGTGCTTAATAAACAGAGATCCTAAGATCATCTGAACTCAACGTCTTACGCAAGGTTGTGTATACAACAGACAGGCTCACACGCACTCAACCGTTCAACGGTGCATGAAGAGACGTTTGCAAAAAGGATGACTTCACCTGCTCGCATAGATTACTGTAGAGAATTGTTGTTGATCATGAATCACTATATCCATGATCAAGTGCATTGACCATTGCATTTCCATGTTTCATGACGTAGGATGATTTTTCTGCACTTGGATTTCTTCCTCAGTCATGATGTTTCCACAACGCTTCAGAAACCTAGTCAGAAATGAAACAATGTGCAGATAAATTTGAGCATCAATAAAAATAAATGAGATGTTCTTCGAATCAATCCTGCCTTGTTTTGACGGTTCGCAATGCTGCCGTGCAGTTGTAGAGTTCTTGTCGCATGTGGCACTACAGAGGAGTGCCTTGTTCAACAGAACAAGCACTCGGTGATTGTAAAAGGATCACAAACGCTGTGAATCAATAAATAGAATTCCACATCCAGGGTATCGCATCTTTATTAGAAGAGTTTCAATCAGGGTAAAAGCACAACCGACCTCCTTGTAATCAAGAACACGTTCCATCTTTTGCCTTGCGAAGGTGTATCTATGTGAACCAAGAAGCATGTGACATGTGGCCACATCATACATGCTCTACGGCCTGGAATATTGGCATCTTCAAAAGTGCTCATGTTTGCGTTGAGATCATCTGCTTGGCAGCGGCTCATTGATGAACAAAATCCGATGCAAGTTCACACCAGTAATATTCACATGATGCATCATGTGATGAAATGACCTAGGCCTTGGTGATTTGCAAAATGTTTCATCGTTCAAACACGTCCTTGAAAATCAGATGAAGAATCCTTCACGAACCACGGGACTTGCTTGTCCGACATCATTCGACAGCACTGCGGATCATGGTTGTTTCAAGCAGTCGAGCAGCTCACTGCTAAAATGCACCGTGCATTATTTATTGGCATCTTCTTGCGAGACTA